CCTGTCAGATCGATTGGGCGCTCTGGTCGTCATTTTTACGGTGTCGCATTTGTCCGTGACGTCGGATCTAAGGGTATCCCACGGGCCCTCGGGGATCCCGATTTCTTCTCCAGGGCCAGCTTCTCATGAGTTCTTCTGGCGGCCCCGGGGGCCGAAAGAAGGCCCCCACGCCACCGCTGCGACTTCTTCTGGGACGCCTGATTCTGAGGCTCTTTCCTCTGGTGGCCCCTTCCGTTGCATCCTCGGGGGACCGTGGATTCGACGCGGATGGCGGGCGCGGTGGGACAGACGAGGTCCCCCGACGATGCGACAGAAGGCCCCGAGAAACCAGCCCCCCCGGACCCGTGCGTGGGTGCGCCTTGGCCATAGCATCATGGGATCCCAGCCGTGGCGACGAGAGGCTGCCGTGCTGGCCCAGGGAGGGCCTCAGACTCTCAACCTTTCGAACCCTGAGATCCGACCATGGGTTTTTCGCAGTGCGCGGCCCCACTGGTCTCGACCCCTCCCCCAGGGGTACTCCAGATGTCGTAATAAAAGGGAGGGGGCCTCAACCCTCCCAGACGAGAAGTTTTAGACCCCCCCCGTGGGAGAACCCTCCAAAACATCGTCCCCAGACCCCCCCAGGCCCTCCAAGATAGCCTGGAAGAGACCCCCCCCGAAATGAGACCCCCTCCCTTTTAGTACGAAATCTGGAGTAGGCTTCCGTCCTGGATCAATATTGGATGGTCCTGGGGCCCAACATCGTGCCCCAGAGGCCGACACGGAGGAACAGCGCCCGGTTTGAAAGAAACAGATCTTTGGAGATCTGAGTCTCCGAGGTTCGACCCTCCATCCTCCTCTCCTCCTCCTCCTCCTCCTCCTCCTCCTCCTCCTCCTCCCTCCTCCTCCTCCTCCTCCTTCTCCTCCCCCTCCTGCTCCTGCTCCTGCTCCTCCTTGCTCCTCCTCTCCTCCTCCTCCTCCTCCTCCTCCTCCTCCTCCTCCTCCTCCCCCTCCTCCTCCTCCTCCTCCTCCTCCTCCTCCTCTCCTCCTCCCTCCTCGCCTCCTCCTCCCTCCTTCTCCTCCCCCCCCTCCTGCTCCTGCTCCTACCTGCTCCTGCTCCTCCTCCTCCTCCTCCTCTCCTCTCCTCCTCCTCTCCTCCTCCCCCTCCTCCTCCTCCTCCTCCTCCTCCTCCTCTCCTCCTCCTCCTCCTCTCTCCTCCCCCTCCTGCTCCCTGCTCCTGCTCCTCCAGCTCCTGCTCCTCCTCCCCCTCCTCCTCCTCCTCCTCCTCCTCCTCCTCGCCTCCTCCTACCTCCTCCTCCTCTCCTCCTCCTCCTCCTCCTCCTCCTTCGCCTCCTCCTCGCTCCTCTCCCTCCTCCTCCGCCCCTCCTCCTCCTCCTCCTCCCCCTCCTGCTCCTCCTCCTCCTCCCCCGCCGAGGAGGGTGGCTTCCCTGGGTACTACCAGGCCGCCCGCGCACCCCGCCCATGCCCGCGGCCGGCGCCGCGGCGCCGGTCAGTCGCAGCGCGCACGTGCCAGCACACGGCAGGCGCGCCGGGTGACTTGGCATCGCTTGGACGTGTGCGTTTTTTTCTCTGCGAGAACCATCGAGGACCATCCTGGACCATCGAGCAAAAAAAACACGCACGAAACTGAAACATGCACAGGAAATGGACGTCCGAGCGATGGCGAGATGAGGCATCAGCCTCGCAGGCGATTTCTCGCCCCCGACCCCCGATGTTTGAACGTAGCATTTAGCCGCTCAGAAAAGAAGGAGACTCGGGGATGCACCCCCCGCGGGGCTGTTCTGACGCACGCCTGTCGAGGATGGATGCCCCCCTTTCGTCTGTCCTCAAGGTGAGTTTCAAATGTTTAGGTCCAAACGGAAACCCTCGACCATTCGAGGGTTTGGGTCGCTAGATCCTTGGTTTGCCAGCAGTCAAGAAGTACAACATGAGTAGCCATAGGAGACTTTCTGAGCTCTGCGCGGATTTCTTGGATCTGCGCTAGGCCCAGCGCCGATCCAAGAAATCTGCGCGGGCCTCCGCAGGTTCATAGGTTCATGCATTTTTCTATGCAGATGTCTCACGGAGATGTTGTATTCCCCGGCGACCCCCTGCACCTGTTTGAGTATGTGCTTCCCTTGAAGCGGGCAGTCGACCGAACAATGTGCCCCCAGACGTCTTAGGGCACGATTTCTTAACGTGTGCACCCTCTGCAGTCAAGGCGTTCCGAATAGTGCTTCTCCTTTGAGCCTCAAAGGAGAGGGATCGTTGAGTTTGTCCCTCTCTCTGGCTCTCTCTCTCTCTCTCTCTCTGTAGTCCTCCCAGATGGGGTCCGAGTAGATGGAGTCGGAGGATCAAACCGCCTCGCCGATGCATCGGGGATGCGGCTCGATGTGGAACCCGATGTTCTCAACGCCGACGCTGACGATGCATCGTCGACGTTGCCGATGCATCGCCGATACATCGATGATGCATCGACCACGCGGCACGATTCTCCGAGCCCGTGTGACGGGTGCGCCGAAATGGTGTGCAGAAGGCGAGCGGGCTCAACCACTGGGGCCTTACGTGGAGTTCCTCCCTATGGGGCCACGAGGCGTGTGAGGGGCGCGCCGGAATAGAATGGAGACGTCATGCGGGCGCAACTGCTGGGGCCTTCGGTGGAGCTCTCTTGCCACAAACTGTGTGAGGGGTGCGCCGACGTGGTGTGGAGAAGGCAGGCGGGCGCATCCACTGGGGCCTCACGTGGAGCTCATCCCAGGGCCACGAAAAACGTGTGAGGGGCGCGCCGAGATACTGTGGAGAAGGCATGCGGACATGGGCTTTTGGGCCTCAGGAGGAGCTCCCCACGGGCCACGAAGCGTGCGAGGGGTGCGCCGACATGTGGCACGTGGGGGGCAGAGGCACGGATGGGAGTGGGGGGGAGCGCGGCGGGAGGGCGACGCGGGGCGCTGTCCTTTCCAAAAAGAGGGTCCAAGGCCGCAGGATTGTTGGGACAACTCATGGCGGTGGGGGTCCGGGTCCCTTGCCGCTGATGATGTCTGCCATGGGCCGATTTCTGCCGCGCTGTTCTCAAGGGCAGAAAAAACGCCCCTACCCCGGTTTACGAGGCGCTGTGCTCTGAAACTCCCGTGGGCTGACAGGGTAAACCCTGCGTGATGTGCCGCGTCCTGGCGGCTCTAGGCTTTGAGGGTTCCCAGGAGGTTTAGAGACCACGCACTTGTGACCCAGGGCAGGGCCGTTGTTTCATCCCTCAATGCTCGGCCAGAACCAGGCGAGGCCTGACGAGTGCAAGCTTGCCGAGTGCATTCCGCGGGCCTGACTCAGCCCATGTCCGCCCACGAGCGGCTGCCCCGCAAGACTGCTCGGGGCCGTGCGGCGGCAGCGTTGGCACCATCGTGGGGCCCTCCCGGGTCCACATCGGAGGTTTCTTGGGGGCTCCTTTGGCACCCTCGTGGGGGTCTCTCGGGGCCCTCTTGGGGCCATCCTACGAATGACATCGGCCAAGCAAGGATGCGGTCCTCGATTAGCCTCTCGCTCCCCTGGGATCCCGGAGCGTCGCCTCCTGGAGCCCTCTTGGGGTGCTCTTCGGCTCTCTCGGGGGCGGCTTGGAACCTTATTGGGCCTCTCGTGTTGAGCCACAGTGGAGCCATATTGCGGCCTAAGAACCAGTCACAGATCTACATTTCCACGATGTGGGATAACTTCTCATCGCATCTATTGTGGATCAACTCTTGTGAATGGGGTACAGAACAGTCGGCGCTGCAAGCATGTCATCGCAGAGCATCTCGGACGATCGCTTGCCATCTCGTGGGAGGGGGGATCAATCACGACCACCGATCCCCACTTGAGAAATCCCCAGACGCCCACCACACGCCCAGACGTGGGGTTCGGGGGAGTGGGGGGCAGTGTCACGCTAGGAAAGGTAGCTTCTGGGTGGACAGAGGAGGACCATACACGTTGCCAATTGCGATTGCCAGAAGCCACCGGGTCTCTCACCATACCTCTTTCACGCCCAGTCTCCTGAATGTGAGAAGGCACAACGACACACGGCATCAAGAGACCACCATTGAGGGAGGAGATTTTTTCGAGCGCGAATGTTGTAGGGCATGCTTGCTCGCACTTTCCGGGCTCCTGGGTGTTGACTGGTCTCAGCTAAGTCGGTTGCCTACCTCCACGCGCAACATTCTTGCCATCCGCTCACTGACCAAGGCGTTGTACCCTGGCGTGTCGGACAGCAACTGCTAGGATGATAATTCGGAGGGAGGGAGGTTGATGATGATGGTGATGATGATGGTGATGATGATGGTGATGCTGATGATGCTGCTGCTGATGATGCTGCTGATGCTGATGGTGCTGAATATGCTGCTGCTGATGACGATGTTGATGATGATAATGATGTTGAGGATGCTGATGATAATGATGGTGGTGGTGATGCTGATTATGTTGGTGATGCTGCGGATGCTGAGGATGCTGATGATGAGGAGGAGGATGCTGATGAAGATGATGATGCTGTGATGGTGATGGTGATGGTTATGAAGATGATGATGATGATGATGATGATGATGATGATGATGATGATGATGATGATGATGGTGATGATGATGATGATGATGATGATGATGATGATGATGGTGATGGTGATGGTGGTGATGGTGATGGTGATGATGGTGATGATGCTGCTGCTGCTGATGATGATCATGGTGGTGGTGGTGATAGTGATGGTGATGGCGACAGTGAGGAGAATGAGGAAACGGAGGAGGAGGCGGAAACGGAGGAGGGAGGGCTGAGGGCGGATGCAGGAAGAGGAGAAGGAGGGCGGGGGGAAGATGAGGAGACGCGAGGGAGGGAGGGAGGGAGGGAGGGATGATGAGGAGACAGGAGCGAGGGACGGAAGGAGGATGAGGAGGCAGGAGGGAGGCGGATGAGGAGGCAGGAGGGAGGGAGGAGGGGAGGATGCGAAGGGGAGCTGGCTGCTGCCGACTCTGCGTCCACCTCCTGCTCCTCCCCCCTTTGGGGTCCGCAGTCGTTTTGGCTGGCTCGGGCGGCTGTGGCGCAGGAGAGATCGACACTGTGAGCGCACCGCCGCGATGGGCCTGGGCGCTTCGGCGGCCGCCAAGTGTGGCAGCGCGCGAGCCTCCGAGCCAGGCGGCCGGCGCAGGAACGGGTGGCGGGGCCGACTGCGCTGCGCGCGGGCTGCCCGCGTAAGGTTGCGCCGTAGGCGTAAGAATGACCTCTCGCCGGAGTGACCTTTGGTGCGGGCACAAGTGGGCCCCCAGATGGCTGAAAGAGAAGCGGCAGCAGCGGATGGCGCGCTTGCGTTTGGCCCCCCCCGCGCTCCCAAAAAGCCGCGCACCAAAGGTCACTCTTACCCAGGGTCACTCTTGCGTGTAGCCGAAGGTTGCGCCGTGGGCTCTTTTTGTTCCGTTCCCGAGATCCGGGCGTCGCACTTTTTTTTCACCCCGGGCGATCACCCATTTCTGGCCCCAGGGCAAGCACATCACCACCCACCAAACCACCCCAACCCAACCCGAAGGCTTCAATTTGCCCTCCATTTCCAGTCCGCGAACATCGAAAAACAACATATGGAGCCCATAGCCCCCCCAACCCGAAATTCGGGTCTTCGGGTTGGGTTGGGGTGGTCTGGTAGGTAGTCAGCACACATCGATCCGAATCGAAGCACGCAGCAGGAAGACTGTGTCCAGGGTTTCTGCCGTGAATTCTCGCGATGTTGTGTTTTTTTTTCGTAGCGTCGGATCTCAGGGGTGGCGTGCCGCACCAAAAGCCTGCATACAGTCAAGACGCTGAAAGAAGAATCGGTTTGGGCTCAGGAGGTGCTCTGATTTTCGGGCCGTTCCTTCGGTTCAGGCCTGGCAGCTTACTCATGCTCGAGGCTCGCCGTAGCCAGAAAATCCCCTTCGTTCCATATGTTGCGTTCCTCATTGTTGCACGCTGACTGTGCCGTAAGCCCCTCGCGTGTGGCTGCGGCGCCCTCGCGCGAAACGCCCTAACGATACCCGTTGGCTTGGACGTCTCGACACCTTGCACAGGGCTGCTTCTGACACAGAGTCATTTTTTCCCCAACCATCCTGTGGTGTTGGGTCCTCGTTTTGAAGAGAGAGCGCCCCGTGTTCCCTCCTTCCTTCCTTCCTCCGCTCCCCCTCCTCCCTCCTCCCGTCAGCCCCCTCACTTTGGCTTGGACGTTTCGACACCCTCCACCGGGCTGTTTTTGACGCTGGGTTGGTTTTTCCTCCAGAGTAGCCACGGCACTGACAAGAGCAACTGCTGGCTCAGGACGGGGCTCTGGCTTTGGGGCCGTTTCCTTAGTGGGGCCCCAAGAACATACACCACCACAAAGTCGATTCCTTCTCCCTCCTCTGCCCTCCTCTTCCTCTCCTCTTTCCTGGGGGAGGGAGAGGGTGAGGGAGGTGGTGGTGGTGTATATGTTTGGGCCCTCCACTTAGGTTCAGGTCGGGGAGTCTCGTGGTCGAGGCTCGCCGTAGCCAGAAGAAAAGCCCCTGCATTCCTTGTTTGGCGATCCCTCCGGATTCTTCTGGTAGCCTCTCCTTGGATCCCTCTCTGGCGGTCCTTTCTGGATTCGATTATTCTGGATCAATGTATTGTTTGGCGATCCCTCTGCAGCACGCTGGCTGTACCATACGCCCCTCGCGTAACGCTGCAGTGCGCTTAAACGCGAAACGCCCCAGCGACGCCCGTCGGCCCAACTTCTTCGAGGCGTGGGCCCCTGGACGTCTCTGCCCCCGCCCCGGTTCCTTGTTTACCCTCCTGTGGCGTTGGGTCCTCGTTGTGAGTTCGCCGCGCCGCGCGTCTCCGCCTTATCCTTCTCCTCCTCCTCCTCCTCCTCCTCCTCCTCCTCCTCCTTCTCCTCTCCCCCCCCTTCCCCTCCTCTTCCTCCTCCTCCTCCTCGTCCTCCTCCTCCTCCTCCCTATCCTCCTCATTCTCATCCTCCTCCTCCTCCCTTTCCTCGTCCTCATCCTCGTCCTTCCTCCTCGTCAGCATCACCATCTTGATATCAATCACCACCCTCACCATTCTCATCACATCTTCGTCACGCCCCTCACACGGTGCGTCCCCCCCCCCTAGGGAGCCTCACCGAAGGCCTCAGCGACGGCTCTGGCAGGGCAGGAGGCGTCATACTCCTGTTCTCGTTTGCCTTTTCGCACCTTGGCAGACACCTCAGATAGGAGGCTCCACCGAGGGCCCCAGTGGCAGGGTTCACATGTGTACCCGCCGCATTTCGACAGACCCTCACACGTTTCGTGGTCCCATAGGCGGCTCCACCGAGGGCCCCAGGGGCAGGGTTCACCTGGATACCCGTCCAATTTCGGCAGACATTTCACACGTTTCGTGGCCTCTTAGGTGGTTCCACCGAGGGCCCCAGGGGCAGGGTTCACATGGGTACCCGCTCCAGTTCGGCAGACCCCTTGCACTTTTGCGGCCCCATCGGGGGCCCCACCGAGGGCCCCAGTGGCAGGGCCGCATGTCGATAGACCTCTCACACGTTTTGTGGCTCCGTATGGAGCTCCACCGACCTGGGTCCATTTCGGCAGACCCCTGGCACGTTTCGTGGCCCCATAGGGCGCTCCACTGAATGCCCCAGTGGCAGGCTTTGCATGCGTACCCCTCACACGTTTCGTGGCCCCATGAGGGGGCTCCACCTCGGGCCCTGGTGGCAGGGTTCACATAGGTACCCGCCTTTCGGCACACCCCTCACACTTTCCGTGGCTCCATATGGAGCTCCACCGAGGGCCCCAATGGCAGAGTTCTCCTGGGTACCCGCCCCATTTCGACAGACCCCTGACACGTTTCGTGGCCCTATGGGGAGCTCCACCGAATGCCCTCGTGGCAGGGATCACATAGGTACCCGCTCATGTCGGCAGACCCCTCACACGTTTCGTGGCCCCATAGGGGGGCTCCACCGAAGGCCCCCAGTGGCTGGGTTTGCACGGGTACCTGGGTTCATTTTGGCACACCTCTTACACGTTTCGCGCTCCCATCGGGAGCTCCACCGAGGGCCCGAGTGGCAGAGTTCGCATGCGTACTCGTGCTCACTTTTGCACAACCCCCCTCACGCATCGATTTGATTTCTCTGACCCTTGCCCTCGAGCTCCGCGCCGCGTGCATGGTTAACTTCCCGCGTGAAATCAGAGCCGCGTGAGTGCGTGCCGAGCCTGTGCCGACGTTCTTTGGCGAAGCTGTCTGTGGCACTGTGGAGCCCCTAACGGGTTCTTTGGCATTGTGCGCTCTTGTGGTTCGTTTCCGCGTCCGTAGGTTCTCCGCCAGGGTCATTTTTGTTCCAGGTCGCTGTCTCCCCGTCAGGGTTATGGTTTATCCCTGTCCACCGTGCCTTTGGCCTTTGATCGGAGGGGTGTAAAGAGGGGGTTGGCAGAGTCTTCGCACGTGAAGCTGCATGCGCGGAGGAGTAGTCTGCGTTATGCACAGGTGCACCTGGCCCGCGTTTTCACGCGTGCGGGCTCCATCCAGGACATCAGACGTGCGCCCTGACGGCGACTGGGCGATGGGCCACGGGCCTACGCCCGCGTGACGATGCCGGCGACGACGGCGGGAAGTAAGACGAGGAGGAGGAGGTTTCGTTAAGTGCCCTCGTGGGCCTCTCTGCTGTTCCTGCATTCTTGGCACCTCATGTTTCTGCACGAGCCTTCTGCCGAAGTTGTTGACCTCTGCGCTGAAGTCGGTTTCTTCATGCATCTGATGTTCGCAACGCACGAACGCAAAAGCCTCATCGCTCATGTTTACCTAACGTTTGCGAAGGACGATCACCCCCTCCCAGACCAGGTGGGCACATACTCTGAGCCCCAACGGGCCCTTACACTGTTCCTTTTTCTCGCTTTCCCTGTACTTTTCTTGCTGCGCCCACCCATGTCCAACGTGTAGGCCGCGGCGCCTAAGTCGGTTTCGCTTCGCTGTTTCATATCATCTGAACGCTGCGAGCCCCGATGCTCAGGGTCTGGTCAACGTCAAAAAGCAGGCGAAAGATGGGGGAGGAGTGGGAAGAGGAGGAGTAGGAGGAGGAGGAGGAGGAAGAGGAGGAGGAGGAGGAGGAGGAGGAGGAGGCAGGGCAGTGGGAGGAGAGGGAGGGAGAAGCACGTGGTGGGGGGCCGGCAGCGGCCTCCAGAGGACGAAGATGGCGGACAAAAGTTGCCGTCTCGTTTCTGGTGTGGGCCCCATCTCCGAGATGAGCGAACGGGAAGGAGGTGCTGTCAAGTCGTGCGCCGATCGTGGCGCACGCCTGGCCGCGGCGCTTCACGGTGCCTGCGCGGCGCCCGCCAATCGCGCGCATCGGCGTCGTGTGTCTGTACCCTTGCGTGGTCCAGGGTAAGCCCCAGGCACCTGGACCCCTTTGACTCCAGGGCCAGTTCTTTTTGTGCCAGCTCTCTTCGTGGCTCAGTTGTCTGCGGCCATGTACGATTCCTGCTTTTGCGGGTCCCGTCGACGCCGGGGTGTCGCGCATCCCCAGTGGGGCTTACCTGGCCGCAAGTCATCCTTGGAATTCTGGGCTTCTAAGTCAATGTCAAGGCTGTTGATATGTCGCCGCGCTGTTTGTTCCGACGCGCGGCCTTCGCCTTGGGGAGGGCGCCGCGACCACCAGGGCAAACGCCGCCCCAGGCGCGGTGGGTTTGCCGTGGGGCTCGCTGCGCTGGCGGCGTCGCCTGCCTGCGGCGCGGGGCGCAGGGCATGTCGTGGTTTTGCCGTGGTGTCGCCTTTGTCCACTTGGGCGCGTCGGGGACAAACTGCGCGGCGTCATATCTGGCCAAACCTGGCTCATAAGTGGGTTTCCGGTGCCCCAAGCGGCTTGCGGGGGTCAGAGATCTAGGTGCAGTTTGCGGAGCCCATGTAGCAGAGTTGCCCGACTCCTTTGAAGCCATTCAGGGCATCTGCCACCCGCCCCCAGGACAGGCTAGGCCAGGTACGACCCACAGTAGGGTCCACTCCTAGCCCCCGATCCACTTTGTAACCTTAGTAGTATTGCTAAGGTCTTACG